AGAACTTTCTATTTTCTCCATGGCGGATTAAGGAGAACTTGGGATTTTACGACTTTTAAAAACACTCTTTCAAGCCCCACACAGGCTATGGGCATTATATTTCACGTTTTCAACACAAAGGACCTCCTGTACCCTTTTTTAATTTATATTTTGTCACAAAACAATAAAAAAAATAAGAAAAAAAAATAACAACACTCGCGTAATCCTTGCTTGGCGACCGCTTCCTTTGGAACCTAAACCGCAACTAATCTCGCAGACGGAAAATCGCAAAAGCAAACGGGAAAACTTACGCCCGGACGGAGAGAGAGCGCAGGACCAACTGATCAGAAGATACCGAGAGCCGAAAGAGAACGGGTGGAAGAAAGCAAGCAGTGCGTTGCACTTTGTTCTTTGTCCGGTAGAGGGAGCATATTTATTATTCAGGTGTATTGTATTGATTTCTTATACCACTCCTGGTGTTTTTGAAGGGGACCCCCTAGAAATTTTGCGAAAAAATCCAAAAATTTTAATAGTCCGGGATTTTGATGCAGAATAACGGAAAATCGATCTACAAATCGTTTAAAGTATCCCGCTTGGGAATCGGATGAAAATTAACAGAGTTATGGCCTTCGCTGGGGTCATACCGGCATTCCCGGTGTTTTTCAAGGGGGCCCCCTAGAAATTTGGGAAAAAAATCCAAAAATTTTAATAGTCCGGGATTTTGATGCAGAATAACGGAGAATCAATCTACAATTCGTTTAAAGTATCCCGCTTGAAAATCGGATAAAAATTAACAGAGTTATGGCCTTCGCTGGGGTCAGACTTTCATTCCCGGTGTTTTTGAAGGGGACCCCCTAGAAATTTTGGAAAAAAATCCAAAAATTTTAACAGTCCGGGATTTTGATGCAGAATAACGGAGAATCGATCTACAAATCGTTTAAAGTATCCCGCTTGAGAATCGGATAAAAATTTACAGAGTTATGGCCTTCGCTGGGGTCAGACTTTCATTCCCGGTGTTTTTGAAGGGGACCCCCTAGAAATTTTGGAAAAAAATCCAAAAATTTTAACAGTCCGGGATTTTGATGCAGAATAACGGAGAATCAATCTACAATTCGTTTAAAGTATCCCGCTTGAGAATCGGATAAAAATTGGGAGAGTTATGGCCTTCGCATTTCCCAGTTTTGTATTTAGAATCTTGGGCAAACGTTGTGAAAATCGTTTAAGGTAAAAACAAAAATAAAAATAAAAATAAAGGATCAAAATAAAAATTGAGATCAAAATTTAAAATGAAATAGCTTTTGCTCTGGGGCGGCATAAGGTAGGCTTTTAAGCCCACAGCACTTGAAATTAAGAAAAAAAATTAAATTAAGATATTAAGAACATAAAAATTAAAAAATAAAAATAAACGCATCCCTTTTTTTGAAGTAATCCATGGGTTTATCAAAAAAATTAAAAATAAAAGGATTTAAAAGACAGAAATAAATATCGAGAAGACGATAAAAAGACAGACCACAGAGACGATGAAACAAAAATATTGAATTTAAAAAAATAACCTCAGAATTCGTGAAATATGAGTTAGAATAACACAAAGTTTAAAAAAAAATGGGATAATAATTATAAATAAAAAATTCTTTTTTTCCCTCTCAGCTTGCAAGGGTATGTTGAAGGTTTTCAAGAAAAAATAAAAGTATATATGAAACCGACCATTTGAATCCGTTTGTCTTTTTCAAAGAGTCCAACGTATTGAAAAAAAAAATATATAAAATAAAAATTGAAATAATTCAACTCAAACCAGAAGGGCAGACCGAGCCTAGAGCCACTGGTGAAATTTTCTATTAAAAAATCAACAAATTAAAAAATCAACAAATTAAAAAATAAAATAATAAACAAAAAGGAGCCAGGACGTGAGATTTAACGATACCAGTATAGACTACAATGACACACCACAACAGTCCAAAGTTTTGAATAAAAAATAAAAATATAAATTAAATAAGAAAATAAAATTCAAGTAAAATAAAAAAAATAAAATAAAAAACAAAAAGGAGCCAGAACGTGAGGTTTAACGATACCAGTATTGACTACAATGACACACCACAAGAGTCCAAAGTTTTGAATAAAAATAAAAATATAAATAAAATAAGAAAATAAAATTCAAGTAAAATAAAAAAAATAAAATAAAAAACAAAAAGGAGCCAGAACGTGAGGTTTAACGATACCAGTATTGACTACAATGACACACCACAAGAGTCCAAAGTTTTGAATAAAAAATAAAAATATAAATTAAATAAGAAAATAAAATTCAAGTAAAATAAAAAAAATAAAATAAAAAACAAAAAGGAGCCAGAACGTGAGGTTTAACGATACCACTATTGACTACAATGACACACCACAACAGTCCAAAGTTTTGAATAAAAAATAAAAATATAAATTAAATAAGAAAATAAAATTCAAGAAAAATAAAAAATAAAATAAAAATCGAGAAGTCAACTGTTTGGAGGTCCGTTGACTACTGATTTGGAATGAAGGAAATCCGCCTTTTATACTCTTTTTGGGGCTTCCATCAGGGCCTACTAGTCTCGATAGCAGGCGATCTATCGATAGGAAAGAGGCATCTATCGATTAATCGAAGGGTTGCAACATAATGGGCTGCTTTGTAGCCCTAGAGACTGGCTGTCAAAATGGTAATTCTTGTGAAAAATGTGTTTCTTGTGTGAAAAAAAATTAAAAGTGAAGACCCAAGCTGAAGAAGGTGTTTAAGAAGTGAAATCAGGTGAATATTGGCCAAGATATATCCTTCACTAGTAGGCATACATATCTGCATTCCGATTGTTCTTCAAGAGAACTTTCCAGAAATTTTGTTAGAACACCAAAATAGGATTCTTTTTCCACATTTTGGTGCAGATTTGAGGATTTTGATGCATAATGATGAAGCATCGATCCACAAATCGTTTGAGGTGTCCCGTTTAAGAATCGGATAGAAATTAAATAAATTACAATAAAAATCCCCTTTCCGTTTCATTATCTTTCTACATGACCCACAAAGAGAGCCTCTGTGGTTCGCCGCCAGAGGGCGTGTTAGACCCACTGGCAACGCGTCGAATGAGTAATGTGTTGAGGGAGGGTAGAGTTAGTGTAAAGATATAGTTAGAATTTCAGTGCCGACCTGCGGCAAGAAGTGCTGACGTCTTCCGATCCAGTGTAAATAAATTTAATTCAAGTTAGAGTTGAGTGGCCAGCATTCATCAAATGCCGGTAGCATGAATAACGTCGATAAGACCCGCCGATCCGATAAGGCATTGCGATCGGAGGACGTAAACTCCGATGGCTTTATGTCTTTTAGCGGTGAGTGGAAACGGAAAGAAAAAAACAATACATATCATAGAACTCAATAACCGGACGAGTGCCATAAGTGGTTGTTGCCCTAAAATCAATTAAATAGGGATAATATGGCGGTATGATAAGCGAGTTCCGATCGGAAGTTGGCAACAGAAACGTTTCGAAAACGTTTAGTCAAGTGGGCCACAAGTGGGCCATAAATAATGTCAGAGATAGGGCCAACAAGTCCGTCAGCTTCCTATTGCAAGTTAATAAAATTAATGGTAGTTATGTTTGTGAGTACTAATTTGGATTTATAACCGGAAACTTTTTGGGTATTTCTTAGTTTAATTATTTAAGTTTAAGATGCATTAAGTTTTTTTTTATATATTTTTGTTGAATTTTTAAGGAATAGTTAAGGAGAAAAAGCAGGACTAATTTCTCAGATATATGATCAGTTCTCTACAATTATTCTACAAGTACCGGGTATAGCATATCATTTTTCTACAAGTTCTGTACACGTTCTTAACAATTATTCTACAAGTACTGAGTATAGCTTACTATTTAATTACTTATCTCCAAGTTATTCTAAAAGTACCGGGTATTACATATAATTTTCAGTCATTTCTTTCTTAAAAATACAAACAACACTATATAGCCTTTTTCCTGAAATTTGTAAGCCCATCCATCGGAAATGCAAACCAAAGTACATTCTTAAAAGGGCCATAAAGATAATTAATACCAAGACCGCGATAAGAGCTATAATGCATCAATTATTGATTATAAAATAGCAATAAATACCATATGGCTTACTTCCATAAGAACCATAAGAAAATGAAAAAATATTATAAGCGATTATAAACCAGAAATGATCGGAAATGTAAGACTATAGGTATGATTGGCTTACACCACCCAGAGGGCCCATATAAGAAGTGTTTTAACTTAAATAGGGGACTTCTTTAATTCAAAAAAATAATTCTTATTTTTTTTTGGAAAGTCCCCAATTAAGTTCTCCCAGTTCAAAACTACGTTTTCTTTTTTTTTTTTTTTGTCTTTTGTTTTTATTTTTCTTTCACAATCTTAAGGACTAAGCACAATAATGTATATACAAATACTTGTTGGCTGCCTTTAACATTTCATCTTCTCCGATTTTCTCACACAAAACATTCGTCACTAAAAACTATTCAAAAAAATTACTTAAAATAAATCACAGTAGATTTAAGCATTTTTTTGTTTTTTGGGGGCCAGGGCATTATTCTGGCTTTCACATAAATAATTTTTTTTTTAATAAATATATATATATATTTAATAAATAGCTAATAATACAAACACACATATAGTATATATATAATACGAATAAATAAATAAATTACTACACATATAGAGGGTGATGGAATAGACAAAAAAAAAAATACGTTTCAAGGGAATGGAAAATAAATAGTCGCAATAGCTTAGGGAGGGTATGGATGCTCCTCCGTTGTGTGGGTTTTGGTTTTGGAATGATGATTTGGGGTCTGAATGTTCCATGTTGTATATGTGGCATGTTTTGGTGCTAATACTTCTAAAAATACTTCAATAAATAAATAAATACTAATCATAAGTGTCTAAAAACAAATGGCATTCGACAAATTCTTCGTAGGGTGTTGGTTGGTTCTAGGGATCGATCCTCTTTTTGGCTTGGCTTGGCTTGGAGCTTTTTCTTTCAATTTTTTTTTTTTGTTATGTTTTGGCCTTGGTTTCTGGTTAACCTGGCTAATACTGGGCTTGTATTTGTGGCTGGAAGGCTTTTCCAGCATTTTCTAGCATTCCCCGGAAGCACACTCCGATCCGGAACTAATGCTGCCTCTTCGCAATTCAAAACTTTCCGAGCTTCCACCTCGCAGGCTGCCAGAATCCAGGCCTGATGATCCAGCTGCAGTTCCTGCTGCTCCACCCAGCCTGGCCGGGCTGTGATGTCTGTGATGTTTCCGGCTCAGTGCCGAGTGCAGGGTCTTGAATACATTCTCCAAATACTGCAAATACAGCTCCTTGGTGACCTTGAGGTCGCGTTCATCCGCCGCCTCGCTGCCATCGGCTGGGGTGTGGAACTTCAGTCGCTCCTGCATCGTCTCCCGACTAATCCTGGTCAGCTTGGCGCCATTACTATTCGGATACGAGGCATTGATCGTTGTCTCGATCTCGCACAGCATCGTCCTGGCACTGACCAGCAACGCATGCAGTTCATTGGTGACAGCGTCCAGGCTCTGCTGATGATCCTTCCGGTACTTGTACTGAGCCTTGCCCAAATATGCGAAACTGCCCACAAAGGTCTGCACGCTGCGGTACCAGGTCTTTAGTTTAACCTGCAAAAGCAGCGAAAAAGAAAAAATTAAGTTAGTAAGGTTGGTAGCAAGACATGAGCTTGGGAAAACTGGTCTGAGCCGCCCTGGGCGGAGCAGGTCCCGCTCAAGTTAAGAATATGAATATATATGTATAGTACTTACAGCTCCGGTGGATCGCGTCATGTTCGGCAGGAATTTGTATTCGTGCTGCCAGTGCTGGAAGTCGCGGTATTCCAACTTGGCCCGGCTCCGGATGTCGCGGTACTCGCTCATCGTGTTATTCCGCAGGGCGAGGAGATGCTGCAAAAAGAGAGGGGGGAGAAACATGAGTAATGCTAACATTTCTGGTCAGAATGACAAAGTCCAAAAAACAATATAAACTTGAGCCAAGGAAGTAAGAAGTCTAGAAATATCTAATATTTGGAGATTTCTGTTTGGTGATTTTTTTTTTAAATTTAATTTTAGTTTTTATTGAAAAAAGAAATATTAAGTTTTGTTGAAAAAATATTATAATTTTAAATATTTTAGCCCTAAAGCCCTAAAGCCCTAAAGTTAACAAAAAAGCGCGAAAAAGGTCTTGAAAAGTTTTCAAATAAAATTTCTCCAAAAATATTTAAAAATACATTTTTTCAAAGAAAGTCTTAGGAGATTTTTCCAAAGGTTTTAAAAAGCATAAAAAATACTTCAAGAAATTATCCGAAAACTATTTTTAAAATTTTTTCAAAAAAAAAACTTGTAAAAAGTAAAGAATTTAAAATCATTTTTAAAAAAATGAAGAAAAACGTTGAAAAAAAAAATATTCTTCGAAGAAAAAAATCTTTAAAGAAAAACCTTATATTTAAAGCTTTTTTTTACAAAAAAACACACTATATCTTGAAACACATATTATATTTCAATATCACTTTTTCTTAAATCCTTGGCGCACTTTTTGGTATTTTTTTTTTGTTGGTATTTGTTTTAAGACAAAAAACCATAGCCTATCTTGAGGCACACTCACCCTGCGCTTGATCACTCGTCCTTGGCTGGAGCTGTCCTCCTGATTGGAGCTATCACCCGGCTGGTAGACACCACCGCATGGGTTCTCCCACTCCGGAATCTGGGGGTTGGGGGCGCTGAAGAGCCTCAGGTTGTGGCTGCGGGCATGACGTGTCCTTTGGCGGCGATGCAGTTCCCGGCGGGCGGCACGCAGCGCTGCCTGGGCGATCTCCTCGTAGCTGTTCTCGCTGAGGCCCATTTCGCTGCTGCTGCTGCTGCTGCTGCTGGTGTCGAAGTCGGCACTGTCGCTGCTATCGCTGCTGTCGTAGGTGCCTTCGCCAAAGCTTTCGGCCAGGCCGTGAAAAGGATTGGCATGCTGACGCCAGGATGCCAGAATGGCAGCTGCGGCAGCGGCGGCGGCATTGTCTCTCTCTCGCTCCCGCTCTCGGGCCGAGCTCTCGTCCTCGAAGGACGTGGCATAGTCGAGGGCGGCCACCTGATCGTGCAGATGCCTGGCCTGGCTGAAGGGCAAGAAGCTGGCCAGCATCATGATGACCAGTAGGAGTTGTCTGTTGAGATGGCAGCTGGTGAACTGAGTGCTCCTCCTCCCACTGCCGAGATTTTGTGAAGTAACTAAAAAAAAAAGAATTAATTTTTTTTAATTAATTAATTTTTCAAATTAATGTTAATTTTTTTTCGCGCCTTTTTTTTGTTGGTACCTACCGTTTAAGGCAAAGACTGGCATTGGTGGGCTATTAACTTGGCTAATATAACTAACTAACTAAATAACGGTAAATGATGATGCTGCTGCTGCTATTTGCTGCTGCTGCTGCTTGCTGCTCGACGGCTGCTGGCTGAGTGACTGCCAATGCAGCGGCGCTCGTAATTTTGAAGCCTCTGCTCCTCCGACGCTAAGCGCCTCGCACGCACGCACTCCACCTCCTCCTCGCACTCGCACTCGCACTCGCACTCACACGCTCGATATCGATTGCAGAGGGAGAGAAGGTGATGAGAAGGTGGGCAGCAGCAGATTGGCAGATTGCGAGATCGGGACAGATCGCCTTGATTGTAACCGCGAGAGAGAGGAGTCGAGTGGAGTGGGCCAACACAGAGAGTTGCAGAAGAGAGAGAGAGAGAGTGCAAGATCACTGAGCTGGTAATGAGTGGGATTACAATTACAAAGACAACAAAAACAATAACAATTGCATTGAGCAATTTTTTGAAAATTATTTTTGAGTATTTGTCATGAATGGTGGCTCTCTCTCTGTTGCCTGATTGTCTCTCTGTCTCACACACGTTCAACAAAAAATGTTGACTGAATTTCACCAGAAAAGATTACTCATAGGTATTTGGGTTTTTTTTGTTGTATATTTTTTGTTGTTTTTTTTTTTTTAAACGTTTCTTTTCTCACTCAGACGTGGCCCAGACTGTGGCTGTGAGGCGGCGGCGGCGGCGGCGGCAGCAGCAGCGGTGGCTTACAGTTGCGGCTTATAGTGACGTCAAGTTAGTAGCCAACCGCCACCGCTAGCCAGCCAGCCAGCCACTCGTTTGTTTGAATAATTCATAACACTCAGTGTATTGCTCTCCCGCTCTCTCACTCACTCTCTGTATCCCGCCGCCGCCGCCACCGCCACCGCCGCTCTCTTGGCCAATCCGGCCCAAATAAGTGCGGTATGTTGCGGTAGGTCAGCGACTTGATAACGCGACTCGCTCTGGCCGGCTCAGCTGCTACTGCTGCTGCTCTGCCAGCGGCTGCGTCGACTGCGATAAGGCACGTGCTGCCGGTTAAACCGTTAGTTGCAGTTTTTTGTTGCCATTTTTTTTTTTTTTTTGCGATCAGCTGGCCAAGGCCAATAATCACTTGGCATTGGTTAATTGGCTAATTATTTACTGGAAAGTTCTCTCGTTTTAACGGAATTCGTATAACGGTGATTAATTTAGCGAAAGTAATGAAAGAGATGGCAATAAAGAAAGAGAGAGAGAGAGAGAGTGGGTCTTCTTATCAAAGGAAAAGGAACTCATGTGAGCGATTAGATCCCAAGCCTTAAGTGGGCCAAAACGGCATAATGGATCATGTGAGCCAAAAAAGGCATGATCCGACCTGATCCCCCAAAAAGGGGCTGGACTTATCAGGAGGAGGCCTATCAGGGGGTTTATCTCCCTCTTGGCCATCAAGTGGGTCGCTATTAGCCCTCTAGACGAATTTCAAGAAGAATTTCAACAAGTTATTAAAATTTAATTACAAAAAGGGGCAAAAAAAAAATAAACTATATATTTTTAATATTTTATTCAGTTATTTATAATTTAAGCTCAACTATTGCCTAATTTTTAGGGTCTTTAGGGAAAAAATACCAATATAAACTTTCTTAAAATTATTAAGATATTTTTTTAAAATAATATCTAGAATTTATAAAAAAGAAAAAACTGCTTATTTCCAGAAACAAAACTAGTATAATTAAAAAAAAACTATTGTATGTATTATGATTAATTATTATTTACACGTGACTGAGTTTCATTCATGGGATTTTCTTTCCCCCATGGATTTTTCCCCACGTTTTTCTAAAAAAGTCTCTAGAACTCTAGAGTCTAGACAAATCAAATGTTAAATTTGTAAATATTTAGTCATTAAATATAGATTTTCAAATGAAAAAGGTAACTATTTAAGTGGGTTTTTTAGATTAGAGAGAAACAAAGGTAATAACTTTTAAGGGAATTTCATTAAAAAAAATAATAATAATAATTGGAAAAATAATAGAAAAAACTTCAGATTTTGATAGAAAATTTTTAAAAGTTGAAAAAAATAAGTAAAGTTTTAAAAGAAAGTTTTTAGTATTAAAAAAGTTTTAAGATGTCTTTAAGGAAAACCTCTCTAGAAATTCAAAAAAAAATTCAGATCAAGACCTTTGCTTTGAATACTAGTACTTAACTTTTGGAATAATTATATTTTAATTTTTAAATAAAAAAATCTGTAGTTTTTCTTAAAATTTTTTAACTTTGAACTGCATTGACGTAGTTTTAAAAACTAAAAAAAAAAAAATTAAGCAACCTGTTGATTATTTCGCCATGAAATCATATTTAATTGCATGGCTATGGCTTTGGGCATTGGATTTCCTTTTATCAAGATATATAAAAATATATATAAATATACACATATGTTGGTATGACCCTCGAGCCAATGGATCCATACAAGATGCCAAGCCGATTATTATCAACAGGTCGATCAATCGAATCACAGGGGGATTCACACTCTTGGAGTATAGAAAGAAAACTGAAGAGTGAAGTGGAGGTGGATGTGGTGGTGATTTAAAGTACGTGTATTATTTATTATTAATCATGGGAACCCAGATACGTTCAAATACCCTAACCATAACCATATCATATACTATATTTGTTGTTGTATATATCGATATATTCGAAATGTTGGCCAATCATCTTTTTATAAACAATTGCGAAAGGCAATGAGGGAAAGTTATCTTCTTAGGTCGGTGATCTAATTGCTACGACGATTCTACGATTCTACGGTTCTACGATTACGCCGCTTTAGAACTTTGTACCTCATTTTCGAAGCAAAAAAAAAAAAAAAAAAAAATGATTTATTTTTAATTTCTTGTTACTTACTTTGATGGCACATTTTTGTAGTTTGTTTACGTTTTTTTTCGACTTTTTTGTCTAACTTGATCACGTTCTATTTTTTGACTACAATGAGTCGGAGTGTTATGTTTTTTTATTTTTCAGATTATATATTTATTTTTTAGACACTATTTTTTATGTGATATGATATAGGGCTTATAGTCTTAGATAGATGTTAAGTTCCTTTTGCACTGTTTCTTTTTTTTTTTTTTGTTGGAGTTCACAGGCCCGGGACAATTAGCATTGGCGTGTGTCTAAGCGAAAACTGATTCATGGTCTCCGGCCGGCGCATAATTTTATATTTATACGAAAATCGCCGGCTGCGTGGTGAGGCAGTCCCCCAGTTTTGCTGCCTCAGTTGGCGTCGCTGTCGCTGTTCGATACCGTCTCCTGGCTATCTCTTCCCAAAGCAGAGCAGTCCAAGTTGACTTTGCTGTCGCTGTTTCAGTCGCTGACGCTGTCACTGCCGCTGTCGCTGCCTCGGTCGCTGCCTCTGCCGGCTTCGACAACGTCAATGCGAAATTCCGTCGCTCCAAACAAAAAAAAAAAAAAAACGAAGAAGAATTGTATTTGGAATCGTAATCGAAGTCAGAAGTGCGCGCCACGCTTATAATTATTATTGGATTTGATTTGTAGGGGAGACCCACTCCCCCCCACCCCACCCCATCCCTAGCCAACCCCTCCACCTACCCTAGTGTTTATTTTTGTATTTACTTTTCATCAATTACGTATATAGTTCCCCCTACCCCCAACACCTCCCACCCCTCTCTAGTGAGGCGACCAACGCCTCGGCCCCAAAAGGGGGATTTTTCTTCACCTGAGCTGGTGTGCGTAAGTGTGCGGACCATACGTGTGTGTCTCATTATGTACACCTTCTTAATTTTTTTTTCTATTTTTTTTTTTTTTTTTTATTGTTTTGCGTCATATGAGAGACTCCCTACCACCTAGTAAAAAAAGGAGGCGTGGCATGGCCACCCGTTTCAATGCGAAATTAATTGCATTCATTGCGAACCGAGTTCAAAAATCATGTTTTTCAAAAGCCATAGCGGGGGGATTTTTTTTCCAGTCTTTCTCGGCCGTGGGAAATTCATCTTGTAGAGCTCGTAGAGTTTCATTAACTTATCTTTATATATTGTATATCTCTATATCACACTTTTTTCTTCTTTCTTTAGGTCTAAGAAGAAGATCTTGAAAAAGAGAGGCTTCTGAATTCTTAAGGCTTCGAATATTTTGGCCAAGATTCGGTTTGTGATAAGATTCATTCAAGACTTTCAATTTACGGTTTTCGGGAAGGATTTTTGGTTTAATAATAATTATAATAATATAATAAGAATAATAAGTTAAAATTAATGTTAATAAACCTTAATAGATCCGGGAAATTGTTTTTTTTATCAACTTCAAATCAACTTCTATCCTAATCATACTTTTATTTTCTTTTGTTATTCTATTTTCTATATTATTATTAGTTTTTTCTTTTACTAAAAGTCCAAGTTTTCCTTAACTAAAAACTCTAGAGTTTTAAATATCGAGAGCAAGACTTAAGTTTCTAATTATCGAACGTTATAAACAAATTATCGAGTTAAAAAATTATCGAAAATATCGATACATTCAGATATCTTCAAAAGGTAGATTTCTTGGTATTTTTCTAAACTTTTTCTTAGGTGTATATGGTTTTTAAATTGTCTTTAATTAAAACTATTTTTTTTAGCATTAAATTAATAAATTTTTAAAATTTTCTATGAACTCCTAAGAAGTTTGGAACTCTATTAAACAAACTATTAATTTTGTATCGAATTTGTATATATTTTTTATATGTATTATTGTAAATTTTTTTTCTTAAATAAATACACCAATTATGTCCTTCAAAGACCTATATAATATATCACAAATGACTTTTTTATTCCTAAATCGTATCCTCCTAAAATCCTCGTCTAAAAAACAACCATTTCTTACATTTTTCTCCCCCCAGAAGGCATAATTTATTTAAAAATCAAACCCCCATGTTAGCAAATTAATTTCATGCCCTATTTACATAGCAATTGACACTTGATTTGAAAAATCAAATCAAATCTTGTGTTGCGCTTTTCATTTACACATTCTCATCACGCCATCAAGAGTTAACATTTCCCCGGGCCATCAAAAACGTAAAAAAAAAAGTAAAAAAAAAAAAATAAATAAAAACTTTCCACCGTAATTAGATCATTTGGCCAAAAGCAAGAAATGATGATTGACGCACATTTTTGTTGGTCAGGGAACTGGTTTCCAAGATTTACAATTCAATTCGCCGGACCCGTCAGTTTTATAGAGTTGGGTTCTTGAGGCGCTACACTATCGATGGTACAAGATCTCTTGGCTCTGATTTACAATTCAATTTCATGAGATATGGTATAAACAAATATATACTCATATACTAACTATACAGTCTGTCATGGGTAAGTGATATCACGAACCTGCAATTAATGGCTAATTGCTTTTTTGTTGTGGCATTGCCCATATATACGATCATCTCGAACTTTGAACCCAAGACTCATCGCCTGGGAAATTGTTTTTAAGTTTATATATTTTTATCAGAGAAATCAATGCATGACACGACGTTGATATTATAGGAAAGTCAAGTCGAAGATTATAATACTCTAAGTGGGTAAGATCTCAATCTATATGATAGTTTAGATTACCGAAATACATAACTATACCATGTTTAAGCTTAATATCTTGTAGGCCAACCGAGTTACTTTAGATTTTTAGACTTTTAAGATCCTTTAAGATGAAAAATCAAAAAATATTACAATTGGGAATGCTATTCACCCTTTTAAAAGAGTAATTGTGCTAATAAGGTCTTGAGTTTTTTGGCCGACGATGACGCGTTTTAGCGATAAGGTCGCGTGGAAAAGTTTATAAGGCACACAAAGTGGGCGACAGTTTATAGCCAGGTTTGAAGATCGATGGGATTGCGGGTCTATAATTAGGGGGCCCTAAGAACCCGAGCCGAGTCGAGCCAATAAAATGTTTTGATTCAACACTCGGTTAGCACTAATTCTGGCAACTTTTCCATTGAACTCTCGCCCCTTATCAGCCACCAAGTCGTCGTCACAAGTTTTGTGTGCCCGTGCCATTAATGAATTCTTTGAGGGTTTAGGTTTGTAGGGGAAATCACCCCATTGCTGGGCAATTGTCTTTCGCTTCGGTTGGTTGACTAATACCGAACCATGAATGAATAAGCAACGAGACGACCCCTTCAGATAAATTAATGGATACTACCAGTTATCGAATAGAGTTGGGGGGGTACACAAACTGGAGCATTTTTTCGCTCGAACCCCACAGACCAGACAGACGGTATAATGAGTCAGAGTGACACCCACGAGCAGCAGAATTTATATTTTGGCACTCGATTCAATTCACCCATTAATCACAATTGCCTTTATTTGCCAGTAAGCCAAGTTATACAAAATATTACTTATAATCTTAAGGGGGGGTATTACGCATGATCGTGTTTGAGTCTTTCGAGTGGTCATCCATAATGTTACTTGAAGCCAAAATAAATACCAAATGATTCAATGGTGTTTCCCAATTAAAAGTTTTTCCACAAGGGGGGTTTTAAGATCTTTAAAATAAAATAGTATAACCTATTTAAAACTCATTACATTTAAGTAGTTTTTAATCTTAAAGGTTTTTGAATGATAATTTTTAAAGAAAAAGATAAGATTCGGGACTGAAAAGTCTAATCTATAGACTTAATATCATCATACAAATAATATTATAAGAATGTCTTGTTTATACTATATCTTATCACTCAATTTATTAGAACCAATGTCAAAGTTTATCCGTCAACTGATTATCCGTATGGCTTAACACCTAGATAGGTGGGCTAGAATGGGCAGTACCAGGCACCTCAGTATCTCAATACCTAGTACCTAGCACCCCAAGGCACCTTCCACCACCCACCAATTGTTTCTAAAAATAACCATTGACATTTTGTATGATTTGGGATTACTTTCGGATGGATGGATGTATGGATGAATGGGGGATGGGATTATGGGTGGGTGGGTCTCCACTCTCCACTGACGTAGGTGTCATGTTTGCCGTGACGTTCACTTGGCAGCCAATTGCGAATTTCACTGTAATTGCCGTTGATTTATTATCAGAACCCCGAAGAGCAAACAATCGATAATACACGCCAAAGGGGGGAATATTGGGGGGGAGCTCTCGCATATCCTCACCTTTTATCATTGGTTATTAATATTAATACCCAATTTTTTGGCAACATAATTGATATTATCTTGGTAATTAGCATTTAGAGTCATAAGTCCGACCCACCCACCACCCTCTCCCTCGGGAATCAGTAACCCTTTTTTGGATTTTGTGGGTTCCCAAGACCCCAAGAGTAACGGGGCTTCTATGACTAATTAAAGCGCGACTGCGACAGCGACGTCGCACTTTATCGCGTGCCGCTGCGTACTCTGCTGCGACGTCAGCTGCGCGCCGGCAGTGCTGCTCGCGCAGCCGGAATGTGTCAACAAGAGTCGCGTGCGCCGCTGGGAACGCTGCTAACAGCGCAGTCGACAGCAACGACCAGTTGCGCTTGGCAGACTGTCAACAGCAGCCGCTCTGCTGCTGCCTCGGTCGCTGCGAAGCGGTGTAGTGGACCCGATAGTTATACGTTGGTGTGGGGTTGGGGTTGGGGTGGGGGTGGGGGCGATTGTAGTGGCGGAGTGGGTGGTTGGGTTAGTCACTTGACAAACGGAGGCAGACGAGCAGCCATCCGGGGATCCAATACATGGTGATTCAAACCTTCATAACCTGGTCAGGTGGGTCGGGCAGCCACACGCCTTACCATAACCACCCACACAGCGGCCACCACCCTCTTGCTCGCACTCCCTTTACCACCTAAGCCCTAAAATGATGGAGGGCCCTGGGAATTACCTTTTTAATTATTAATTTTTTTTTTCTATTTTTAAAGCCTAGGGAAGGTAGCTTTTTGATTGATTTTCTTTTCTATTCAGTTTTTATATTTATTTAAAATATTTTAGATTTATTTATTTACTTTTATATTAAGTCTTTTATCTATTTAAGTTTTATTCATTTATGCTTTAAATAATAATAAACAATTTGTTAAGAGGAGCCCCAAAATTAAGGTTGTACTCCAATGAGTTCCGTTTCAAAACTGATTTTATTCGTCAAAGTTCTCTTATAAGTACGATACATGAGAATCTTAAAACTA